CCCGAGCTGGGTGAAAATCACACTCCCTATGGCGGTTACCTGTACCCCGGCGAGGGGCCAGAAAGTACCCGTCAACAGTATACCCCTACATGCAGTGCGGTTTGACCCCACCAAACACCTAGGGGTAAAGAGGACCCCCTCGGAGGGGTACTTGGCGAAATACCCCTCCGACGGTGACTTCAGTCCGCATAAAACAGTTGACGATACCCCAACATAGGGGTACAAGGCAAATAGTACTGTTTAGCTTTTACAGTGCGGAGAGCTCACCGTGAACTCACGGACCGTGCCTTCTCTAGACCGCCTTCTAAACCGCTCAAAATAGGGTGAGGGGGTGGTGGAAATGTTCTGGGAACGTTTTTCAAGTAAGCTCACAGTGAGATCACCGTGAGCTCTCCAATCGCACCCCAGGCACTCCCCCGGCAACCCCCCGGCTGGCCCCCGGCTGGCCCCCGGCTGGCCCCCAGCTGGTTCCCAGCTGGCCCTAGGCTGCCCCTAGGCTGCCCCCCAGCTACCCCCCGGCTCTCCCCCGGAAAGTGTTATCATGTTCATATTTAAGTTTAAAAAAAAAGTCAGTTTTTCAAGATTCTCCTAACCTTTGAAACATGCTTCTTTTAGTTCATACTTGGCTTGTACTCCCCTCTACGCACCTAGCTTATTGTTAGCGATTTAAAAGACGGAAGAAAGGTCCGTTCTATCAGCAAAAAAAATTAAGGTACCCAAATTTTAGTTCTGCATTGAAACTACAAACAGTTGATCCGAATTATAGTCGAGCCAGCCAAAGGTCCCGATTCTTGTGGCGGTTGGAGAGTTGCCCCCTCTCCTCCTGCCGTACCCCCTCCACAGGCCAGCGGGGGAGCGGAACGGGTGGTGGGGGCTGGTGCGGGCGTTCTCCAACCGCCACAAGAATCGGGACCTTTGGCTGGCTCGACTATAGGGGCTGACCCGAAATTGGTTCAGTAGCTCTACAGGCTACACAGCAAACATTTTACCGGGAACTTCCCAGTTGGATTCGGGAAGTACATTTTCCGGTTGCTCCAAATGTTATAACGTGCATAGATATGACGAAAACTAGCTTCCGGAAAATTACTTCCCGGATTCAACCGAGAACTTCCCCGAAATATATTTGCTGTGTAAATTCTACTGCAGGCTAAATTCCACTTTAATGAGTTACCCCTTAGAAGACCATAAAGAAATATTTTTTTCTGACTTTTTTGACCTACCTTATTTTCTTTGATAACCCCTTTCAGTCCATTAGGGGTAGTTGCCAGGATTTGCTGGGGAGGTTTCGTTTTCTTGGACTGAACCTTAAGATACCCTAAAAATTTGAAGTCTCTAGCACATCGACGCATCCGTGCAACAAAGGCGGATCAAAAAGCGGTCGCTGAACAATGACGGATCGGAAAGCGGTCGCTGCACATCGACGGATCTGAAAACGGTCGCTGAACAACGCCGGATCTGCTTTTTGCTGATCTCGGCATATCTGTCTTTGGAGGCCTCTCACTCATCGCGGGGACGTTGTATCGTTTTCAGTAAAACATTATTTTAAGTGTCATCATCTCGTCAACAAACAGAGACAACACCCAACACGATGCGATATCCCTAAGGAGAGTAAGACGACACTTGAAACCTACAAGCACGGAGTTCGTAGAGTCTCCGTATAAACCCGTATTTCCAGGCAGCTCCGTACCGACACGCAGTTCAGTGCTTGAAAGTCGCTTCTGAGATATAGCGCTTCCAAGTTTTGGGTTTACGTTGCACCTTATGGGCGGCTGGATTTTCAGACCAGAATAACTTTTGAAGTAATTGACATATCGAAATGCGGTTTTCGCTGAGCGATAGCCCTTGGTTTCCTCTATCCGACGCACTTCATTTCATAACTCTTCATAATTTCTTCATAATTTTCAAAAAACATAGTTACGACGCTATACGGTGGCCTGCTGAACTCCGTGTTTGTACCGAGCCCGCGGGAACTGCGTCTTTATACAGGGCCTCCACGAACTCCGTGTGTATAGGTTTCAAGTGTCGAAGAGGCCTCCAAAGTCAAGTATGCAGAGATCAGCAAAAAGCAGATCCGTCGTTGTTCAGCGCCCGTTTTCTGATCCGTCTTTTGTTCAGCGACCCATTTGTAGACCTCTACCTCATCTTCACTGTTAACGCCGTGGTCGCCTAGAATGCCAAAATGTTGGCAGTCCATTTTAAATGCCAAATTTTCGCCTTCTTTTTAGAGGCTGCCAATTTTTTGTCTCTTTGAATGCCAAATTTTGGCCTCCTTTTTAGAAGAGGTTGCCAATTTTTGGCCTCTTTGAATGCCAAAAGTTGGCATTCTTTTGAAAGGAGGCCAAAATTTGGCATTCAAGGAGGCCAAAAATTGGCAGCCTCCTGAAAGAAGGCCAAAATTTGGCAGTCAAAATAGACTGCCAACATTTTGGCATGCTAGGCGACCACGGCGTTAACAGTGTTCACACACGACAGACGGACGGCGTTGCCAGCTCATGCGCTTTAAGTAGCTCAGGAGATCTTTTTAGTGTGTTTGCTGCTCCGCATTGCGATTACCTTCATTATATCGTCGCAAGTTTTTATCCCTTCCATTACATTTATACCTTTCCGTTCCTTGCAGTTGAACCTGTATAAATTCTCCATTTCGTGGGCTCGAGTGCTGCCTACTGCGGATGCTGGCAACCCCAATGCAGCTGGCGTAGAATTTTACATGAACCTCATCGACGAGATCTTAAAGAGCGGCATGACCCCCATGGTAAGAAGGAAAAACAAAACTTCGTTCAGTTTAACGTAACCTCCCGTAATGTACGGCTGGAAACGCCCATATAGGAAACGCTTTTGTTGTTTGTACACAAATCGCTTCTCCATTCCTTTTGCCCCCTTTTACCGACGCAATCTGATGGCCACCACTTTTCATTGTAAATAGGGGGCTTGCTTAAAGCGTTTGGTCGGGCTTGTGACCTGGACTATTCGTCACTGCACTGGAAAACGGAGCTCCTTAACTAATTACTTGACTGCCTGGAAAGTTATTTTCAGAGTTGAAGTTGTAACTTTAACTGTAGTCCTTTGAAAATAAGTTTGCTATAAAACGTTCGATTGCAGTTTCTGTCTGTTTTCGGGAGTACCATCATTCCCCTTTGCTTTATTACAAATTGTTAATTTAGGTGTTCCAATTTTAATGAAGATTGCCGATTGACCTTTCAGTTTTGATAAAGAGAGCTGATTGACGTTTCCGTTTTCATAATGACTGCCCTAACAGCCACACCCGCTAGCTGCTAGCTAGCTAGGCGCACGAGCCAGTCTGACGAGACGTTTTATTCTTTTGATTTTCTGACTTTTAACTTATACTTATTCCCGTTATTTCCGTTTTTATTTGTTGGTGCCAGCTTTCAAATCATCCGTCGGCTACCTTTGGTACAGGCCAGCTGGCCAGTTCCTAAAGTGGTATTTGTAGTTTACGATTGGTTGCAGGTCACAATGTATCATTTTGACCACCCTAAGATGTTAGAAGATGAATTCAAGGGTTGGCAAGACAAACGAATGGCAGATAAGTTTGCTGAGTATGCCGGTTTCCTCTTCAAAACTTTCGGTGACAAGGTAAGTTTAAATTACAACACACAACAAAGAAAAGGCATGTTTACCTAAGTGTCAGTCAGAATTATTCAAATCTTCACTCCGTTCAAGTGCACTACATAGACCGAATTTAAGTATGTTCTACTTTTCAATAAACTTGTTAACCGAGTCATCACAGCCGTAGACGTCAACTTCAAGGTCTTTTAGTTTCATTGCTCTTCGAAACAAAAAAAAAAAGTGCATAAAAATCAAACGTATGACCATAATTTTAAAAATTAAAACATCTCGTATGTCCACTGTTATACTTGACTATACCTTAAGCTTATTTTTTTTATATTTTTTAACTTACATATGTACAGGTTAAGCACTGGGTTACTATCAATGAACCCAATATGTACTGCGCTTACTTCACTACTATGCTTGTAAAAGCAGGCTTGCGAAAAAAAGAAGAAGTCAGCGCGTACGACTGCATTCACAACAATATATTAGCCCACCTAAAAGCAAGACAAGTCTTCAAAAATGGAGGTTATGAAGGTAAGAAAAGCAATATGCACTGTAAAAAAACATCTGATACTACGGGACTGGCAACGGACATTCCGTTATACCATAACATACTTCAGTAGAGAGGTAGGGGAAGGGGGTACATTGGTAAGGAATTTTTCGTTTTGTTAAAGTTCCGAAACTGAGTGACATCAAATGATCGGTGTTATCTCAAACTGTACATTGGATTGTTGTTTTTCATGTACAACAGCAAACAGCCTTTCTTTTAGTCTTTGCCTGCAGAGAAGTTTTCCGAAAATGTGCAACTATGTCCTGATCTACCCTGGTACGGAAAACATTGGGAGACCATAAGAAAACCATGACAAGGGACACATTTTGATATTTGATGCGCTAAACCACAGTTCCGCTCCGTATCTGAGAATGACATAATTACGGTGATCATATACGGAGCTGCGTAAGCGTGGGGTCTGGTTTCGGCCGATCGCAAGCAAAACTTCTAATTTAAAAATATCTTTGGTTTTCGATTTTCGGCCGAGTTTAAACTAATTTCAGATATTAATTAGACGAAATATCGATATTTGGCCATTTCGGGTCCGGTCTGGTTCGTTTTCGTTATCAACATTACTCTAATCGTCGATTTCATACAGAACGCTTTGAGGTACAGCACAAACGGGCGCATATTCGAAATCCAGAGAAAATTTTCGCATCGACATGTTGCTGGTTCGGATTTTTAGGAGCCATACACATTAAATGTATTTGTAGTTTTTTGTGCAAACGTTTGCACAAAGTTGCGCATACATTTCGATTCGCACGAATTTGTGCATACGTATGCATAAAAACATGCACTTCTTCGCACAAATTTGTGCGAATGGAATGTATGCGCAACTTTGTACAAATAAAACCTACAAATCAGTTAGTGTGTAGGGGTCGATGTTCTGTCTACAACTGCAAATTTATTGATTTGTGTGGAAAGTCTACAAATGACCTAAACTTTAAACGGCTATATTTCCTAAAGTATTGGAGCAAATGGGGGGGGGGGAGAGACTTTGAATGGATTTACCAGCATGCAAAACGAACTTACCATGACAGAACATTAAAATCAGCCGAAGGGTTAACAAGCAGGTCCGCTGGGCCAGCTTGGCCTGCCGGCAGGGATGGTTGGGCCACATTTCAGTCACGCCATTTACTGAAGAACATTATCAAATAATGTAGCGGGCCAGGGGGAAATCACTCAAGATCAGAGTGTACGAGTTAGTACGTTAGTACACGTTGGTTACAACCAAATGAGGAGTTATCCACCCCTCGGTACGGACACGGCCGGAACATTATTGCCGCTGTTGTCCGTTGATTTTCCGTTGTATTTTCTCACAGAGTAGGGAGAAAGTGAAAACATACTACTATCGTGAATACTTGTACATCTTTGATGGGGTTCGCCGCGTTTTAGCCGAGGTTTCCACTAATATTATTATAACGTATGTTCTGACCGAGAGCATTTTTCTGAAAAGCTTGTACTTTAGTTACTTGCTTTCGCTATGAAACTATCGGTGATGTATTTCTACCTTAAAGTGTCAGGTCGAGGAAAAATGAGACACCTCTCAATTGGGGAAGAATGATACATTCGCTCCTCTTGATTGGTTTGCATGCTTTTGTCCTCATTCCTAGTGTTTTTGTGCTTATAACTTTTCTTTTAACATTCGACTTTAGTTATTGACCGGTCCTGGGAAGTAAAATCGCTTGTTCTCGTCAAGAAACATACTTAATGGGAAGCCTGTCCGACCACCTATACGCAAGGGCTCTAAAACGTTTCTGCTGGGGTGTTATACTTTCAGTACTGCATCCGTACTCGGAAGAGTAAAGATTAAGTGTTTGAATTCGTTGACAAGCTGGGACTTCAGTGGATCCGTAAAGCTTTACAAAGTCCCTCAATTATAATTCTGCTGTCAGTACGACGAACCATAAGTGCACAGGTAAAAATGAGACACTTGCGTGGCGAAGAAAGATATGCCCAGTCCCATTGACTTTACATGGGAAGACAATGCGGGGAAACATGAGACAAAAAATGGAGTTGCGCTGTCTAGTTTTTCCCCGAGGAGGGTCTCTATCTTTTTGCTTGTTTTTTGCCAGTCTCATTCTTAACCACGGGTGTCTCATTTTCCCCCGAAATGCGTGTTAGGGAAAAGACATATACTATCTCGTATTCTGCATACACCAGAGGTTGCGGCACTAAAATAACGCTTTAACTTCATTACTGGGGATATGTTTCATCGACCAGACACAGTAGGACTAAGACTTTAGGACTTTTCAAACAACCATTTTAATGTTAGAAAAGACGAAAGTTCTTGAAATTTCTCGTTTTCCCCCTGCCTGACCCCACATTATTTTCTCTACAATTTCTTTAAGGGTACCTTGCATTTTCTAGGAAAACTTGGCTACAGCGCGCTGCTGATGTACGCTCAACCAGCAACTATAAGTCCTGAAGATGTATATGCCGCAAACGTCTTTAACGAACTTCACGCAGGGTCTTCGATACATCCAGTTGTGTATGGAGATTACCCACAGGTATTCTTGGCTAACCTAACTACACTCGTGAGCAAAATGAAAGCCCCACTTTTTTGACAGAACATAGTTTTTAAGTGTGATGATGAGGTAGAAAGTTGCCGTTTAGTGGAAGGGTAGGCTTATATGTGATCAACAGTCCCCTAAAAGCGCAGACCTCTACTTCAAACGGTTCGCAAGTTGTAGGGCTTAACGTACCGCGACACCACGCTTTCCAGTGTGGTTCGGAATCAAAGGTTGCTTCGTGATGCTCCCCTGCCTTACTGAGAAGACGCGTCTGGCTGAGAAAGAAAACGTACAGATGTTTTCACCAAGGCAAGGTGGATTGAGGGACGGTGGCGGCAGTTCGCTCTCAAGCGCTCGCCAATAGCGTTCAAATCCGTGAGCGCAGCGTCGCCTGCTGCCCAGGGTGAGGGGGCGGCCGGCGCGCGGCAGCTTATGGACCGAGGACGGTTTTTCGGCCCTCGCGGGCTTTCCTTTGACTTTTCGGGAGTGGATGTAAGGACATCGATTAAACAGCACGTCTTTACCTATCGAATAAACCCAAAATGGGCACAAAATGTCGTATGTACAAGTGCAATGTGACCAAGAGACGTATGTCCACAGAAAATTTGACCAAGTGGCGAATGTCCGCAGAAAATTTGACCAAGTGGCGAATGTCCACAGATATTTTGATCAAGTGGCGTATGTCCACTAGCCCGTATCAAAAAGATGGTCGACGTCTGCAATTTAAGAGGTTGCACTCTCTAAAAGTCGTATTGGCCTTGTAGCGACCCTGTGCAAAATTTGGGCGCTACCAGACAGCACTTTCGAACAGCCACTTGGTGAAAGTTTCTGGGGACATTCGCCCCTTAGTCAAAACATCTGACATTCGCCTTTTGCACTGTCCCTCCAATGGCAATGAAAGTACTACCTTTTGTGGCAATGACCATGCAATGGCAATAAGACAATAGTAAAACCTTTCCAGCGGCAATGAATGGTTCATTGCCAGCCCAAAGGCAATATTATTCATTGCCAATTTTGGCAATGAGTGGATGTCAGTTTGTGAACGTTTTCTAAGTTTTTGGCAATTCAGTCATTGCCATATTGTGGCATTGAAGGTTAATTGCCAAAGTGTCGGCATTGACGGTTCATTGCCGAAATGTCGGCAGTGAAGGTTCATTGCCAATATGTTGGCAGTGACGGTTCACTGCCAAACAGTTGGCTATTATCGTTCAATGCCAAAAGGTCGGCAATAATGTAATGCCAAAATGAGGCAAACAATGGAAAAGCGAATTAATCTTAAGTTACTTCCAGAACATTGCCATTGGGCTGGCAATGAAAACTGCCGTTGGGTTGGCAATGATCGGTTCATTGCCGCTGGAAAGGTCTTATTTTTGTCTTCTTTGAGCTTGACTGGAATTAGAGAGAGTTGACTGGCTTAACCCGGGTTTTGTAAGAGCAACTGGGATTGCCTGATTATTCTTTGGTTATTGCCTATTATACTAAGGATTTACACGGCTTTAGTGAGCGGCCGGCTCGCGACATAATGCAGTTATCATCAGTTAAAATGCAACTAATCGCAGTTACATTGGGAACTGGCATTGACTGGCAATCCTGGAATTCTAGCTGTAAGTGAGGCTGATATTAGCTTTGACTTGGCTGACTTTCGCTGTTTGCATAGCACACCTTTGATCAGTATTTTCTTAGTTATTATCAGTTCAACTTGAACTGTTTTTTGTGATATGTTAACTGAACTTACACGACTTTGCTGCTCATCTAAGATCAGTTCAGTATGTTCAATTTCCAGTGAGCGGCATCAACTGAATTTTGTTTGAGTTTTGGCTGGTGATGGTGTAATAGTCGGATTGGTTTGTATCAGGTGAAGACTCACTAAAGTCAGTGCAGTCACGTAACTGGTCTTACACTAGAATAGGCTGAGTATACACATCACTTGTCCAGAACAATTATCAGCCAAAAAAATACTATATTCAGTGAGCCTCTGGAACGCACATTGTGTATCGGAAACTGATTTTTGTGATTGCGAGCAATAATGTTGAACCGACTAATATGTGACTAATGTCAGTCCGGTGTGTGACTGACATGAGCTGACATTCGACTGATTTTAGAGAGGTGCCTTTAATCAGTTATGATTGATCTAAGCTCAGTCGCGTCCTCAGCCAGTGACTAAAACCAATCAAAAATCAGTCAAGGCCCTCAGTCAAAATCAGTCATATTCGTACCAATTCCAGTAAGGCAAAAAGTGGGCTCAGTATAATCAGTAAAATTAAGTGTAAAATCGGGTAAAAGCCGAGAATATCCGGGTATATTCGGTTAAAGCCAGTCAGACTCACCAATACTCAGTTAAACCCAGTCAAAATTTTTGTTAAATACAGTTAAAATGAAACAATTCCCAGCTATCTTTTTCTCTAGGGTGCCATTGCGCTGTTCATTGCCAAAAAGGCGCTTCATTGCCAACCCAGTGGCAATGAGGGCGTTTTCATTGCCAATTATGGCAATGATCAATATTTAAAAAACTAAATGGAAAAGGATTGAAAGGTCTATGCTTAAAACTCAATCCTGCAGATCAATTACAAACCCATTTTGCTCTCTCCTGGATAATGTAAGTTTTTGGACATACGCCACTTGGTCAAAATTTTGTCACTGATAAAAATGAGTTAAAAATCACTGAATTCACGTAAATTTTTCTTGGAACCCGAGTTTTTGAATGATGGACTTTGCTTGCATACCTGGAAGGCAGTTCAAACCGAGGAGTAGATAACTCCCCGGCTAAGTGTGCACCCCTAATTCTTCCCAGTTCAAACTTATTCAATCCAACTCAATTTAATTCAACACAATTCAGAAATAGTTCAAACCAATTCACAAATTATTCATTTAATGCGGTCCAATTCAAGACAATTTTCATTCAAGCCAATTCAAGTGAATTCACGCATCAAAATCGAAATAATTCAAACCAACTAAAAAACATTTTAACGTTTTCAGTACAATTCAAATACAAATCAAGCAAATTTAAATTCAACTCACGAAATTTGTACACCTTATTCAGAAGTTACCTACCCCTCGTTTCAAACCACTTGGTTCAAAATTTTCCTCTAAGCAGAAGAGTGGCCTTATTTTCTGGTCGCTCATCGTTGACTACATGTGTTCCTTCTATGCAAAAACAACTCTCACACTCATACATTTCTGTTTTTTCGTTGTATTTCACGTTCGGAGTGATTCCCAAAAATGCCCGTACCAAACAACCAAACACCGCCGGCAGCACATGCTAGGCCAGCTCCCAGCTGATGCACTAAACCAGCTGACAGTGGAGCGAAGCGGGGCTGGCAACTTGGTTTGACGGAAGAGCGGTCCTAGGGAGAGGTGGATAACTCACCTGCCGCAACGGGTCACAACCGCACCAGCTAGACGGCATCGACTGTAGACGAAGCCGGGAGCGGGAGCGGAGCGCGCATTAGCGAGCCTCTGAACGCGTCGCCCCCATGCAAGAAAGTCCGTTCTACGACGGTCGCCCAGAGAATGTCACAAGCGTCGTTTGGAGCATGTTCGATCTGCATTAGCCCGGCTGGAGAACATCCGAAGCAACATTTTTGACTGTTTTGAGATATTGATGCCATTTTACGTATCTCGCTAAGTTACATAAAATAGCACCAATATCTCAAAACAGTCAAAAATGTTGCTTCGGATGTTCTCCAGCCGGGCTAATGCAGATCGAACATTCTCCAAACGACGCTTGTAGATCGGACATTCTCTGGGCGACCGTCGTAGAACGGACTTTCTTGCATGGGGGCGACGAACGAGAATCAACCGAGCCTTTGGTCGCTGTGCACTTCTCGTGTAGAATGCGGTACCTCTCAGACACTTCTAAACATTTGTGAGTGGTGTCCGCCGTCGTCGCCGCCCACGGTCCACTTATCGTACATTTCGACGCAACTGATTTGTACTCACAGAAGTGTGTGTACTCCGCAGATTTTGTGCATTCGGTTACTTCAATTCGTCGCCGTTCTGTACAACTCTGGTCGCGTTTCTCCGAGAAAGGTTTCTCCGGAAGGTGAGGAGACCGATACTTAACCTCTGCGAGTTTGTACTTTGTGTCAACAACTCCAATGCACAAAATCTGCGGAGTACACACACTTCTGCGAGTAGAAATCACTTGCGTCGAAATATACGGTAAGTGCGCCGTGGGCGACGAAGCCGCCGGCCGCCGGACACAACTTACACCGAAGTTTCGCGACTTCCAACTCACTTCAGCACCATTTATAATTATTTATTTACCAGAAGAGTAATTGCTGACGCGCCAACGCGGGCACAGTGCGGGTGTCAAAACGTTTAAAAGTGTTTGAGAGGTACCGCATTCTACACGAGAAGTGCACAGCGACCAAAGGCTCGGTTGATTTCTCATCCAGAGGCTCGCTGCGCGCTCCGCTTCGGCTTCGTTCACAGGAGATGCCGTCTAACAGGCGGCTCCCCGCCGTTGCGCTTGTGAGCCGTTGCGGTTGTGAGCCGTTTCGCTTGCGACCCGTTGCGGTTGCGATCAGTTGAGCTTGTGAGCCCCTCCGTGAGACTGAGCCAATCCGAAAATAATTTTGGTCCCGAAGTCTTACTCTTAAG